ACATTCACCTGCATCTTTCTGTTGCTTCCACTCACTCTCCCTCATTTTGTCCTTGGTCTGTAAGCTTTTTGGGGCAGGACCTCACCCACAGTTTTTAAACCAAGGCTCCTAGGCACTGTTGTAATAAATATATATGTATGGACATAAACATATATACATACATATATATAAAGAAATGATGAAAGTCTGGACAAATCTGGATTGTACAACTGGAGCGTGGTGCAGAAATGCCTGACCCAGTGCTGACCCAACATGACGAATTGCCACAGCACAACCAGCCACCTCTGGGCTGCTCCTGTATGAGCTGGCTGGGTCTGGAGGCCATGGAAAGTCAAGAGACTAGTTCCTTTGCTCCAGTGCAACTCCAGAAACTTACTGTTTTACTTTTTCCACACCAGAGCTAACTAAAGTAGAACAAACTGGGTTGTGGTGTAGGTATTCTTGCTGACCTTACATGAATGCTGCATGCAGGAGAGTAAGGAGCAGGAGAGGGGTTATGGTAAGACCCACTGACCTGGAGTGCTTTACCATAGTAGAAGACATACTGCAGTGCTACTTTAAATAGCATCAGTCCTTCTGCATGTAGCCCTGAATGGTCTTGGTCAGTACCAACCTCATCTCGTGAGACCTCAGCAGCAAACTGTCATCTGCAGAGACTGTCCTTGAAGACTACAAGTTAAGGGAAGCCTTGCCTTTTAATAGACGAATGTAGTGTTTAGTCATTGGACAGTCTAGAAAACTGGGTCAGATAGGTGTTGCATCATAGCAGGCAGAATATTTGGTATTAATTAAGAAGTCACATAGTGAAGTATATATCATAGATATCTGATTACATTAATGGAGTTACCTTTAATCATTGGGTAGAGTCATATGAAGGAACATGATCGAGTCACCATGGCTTAGCGGGGTACCGCCCATCTGTTTAAATGTTAGTAGGGATGACTCACAGTGTTAGCACGGCCGTGCAGAGGGAGGGGAGCCAACATGGTCAGTTACAGCAGCTTGGCTAACTCGTGGTATTTTACTAAGCCACCGTAACGCTATCCATCCAGGCCACATACGTCCAAAGAGAGAGTGTACAAACGCTGACTGAGGCCCCATCATGTCCAACTGGAACACAATGAAAATTCTTTAAGTTAGGAAAAACCCCACGGATGGCCAGATTTTCAGTAAGGTTGAGCACTTGCCAGTTCTCTATCTTATCTGTCCTTTATTTGTGGGCTGTTTGCCCAGCAACCCTATTTATTTAGCAGCACAGGTGCCAAGGAATTAAAATCCCTCAGTCAGCAATATTGACTGACAGGCCGCAGCCAGCACCCTCTCAGCATTTGCAAAGAGAGGAGCAGAGTTGACGTGTCCAACATGAAAAATAACAATTATGAACTCTCACTGACTTTCTTTGCTGCAGGATAGAAAGCAACAACAAAAGATTGTGTTGTCCTTGGAAGGAAATGTCTTAGACAAATTGAGTGTCTCAGCCTGTATGGTTCTGTGCCATACACCTTCCCTGAGCTCTGTGCAAGTGTGCATGAGGGTGTGCTGATCGATGGCCTATATTCAGTGTGGAAGCAATAGAGGTAGCCATGAGTACTGGCCGATGTAAGGCTTCCCTGATGGGGAGAGGAATCTGGTGTATGTTACGTAGCACTTTTATTGGTGGAGGGAGCACTGCAAGACTTTTCAACAAAGAGGGTCAACCTCGAGGCACAAGGTTTTGTGCCTTCTCTGCAAAAACGCACTTGGGGACAGGCTAGCACAGGTGTAGCAAGAAAAAATACCTGAAGTTCTGAGGAATTTTTCCTCTAGCTAAGTGTGAAGCATATGCAGACCCCCAAAGCGAAGCAGCATTCAAGGTGAAACGGGGGACAGCAAGGAAGCTTCTTTGCCATTTTAGTAAATACCAATAATTCCCTTTTGCCCAAGTCCCATATTCCCAAACTCATTAAGGCAATTTTGGAATTTTTTTTGGCTCTGGAACATGTAAGCAAAACTCAAACCGTGCAGTCCCTTGAGAATCACTTGGACGAGTTGCATAGGTCAGGCCAAAATAAGTTTCTGTCTAATAGCCTAACACCTAAGCTTATTATAAAACCGGTGAATTGTACAAAGGGTCTGTATGTGGGACAGTCTCAGAATGAATAAAGGAAGGGGGCTTGTTGTCGTGGTACTCATTTTACTTTGGTCCCACTGAAAATTCAAGTGATGTTTTTATTGAATACATGGCTTCTGTTAGCCAGTGCAGTTCCTGCAGGCTGTGGTGGACCCCAAGGGCTCTAGAGCTCAGGTGGGTGGGTGGGTGCATACCTCAGTCTCATCCCAGGACAGGTGTGAGAGTGCACCGGTGCTTTCTCCTTTCCTGCCCACTCTCCTGAGAGGGAACCCAGGGTGCATCCCTGGAAGGGGGTGCAGCACGCTCTTTTCTGCTGCTCAGCCCCACAGCGTGGGGGTCTCAGCCCATCCACCTGGCAGCTGCCTCATGGACTTATGAGACAGAGAAGTCCTGTTTGGGTGTGTTGTCTGCTGCTCTGCAGAGCTGTAGTTGTGTTGAGGATGGGCTGGTGGGAAGTGGGCTTTGCTTGTGGGGGTCACCACAGCCTCTGGAAACCAAACGGAGATTGTTCTCCTCCTCACATTCAGCCTGCTATCTCCTCACTTTTTTTCTTTTCAACGGATCACTGAATCTGCTTTTCATGCTATTTTGGCCCAGCCCTAATGATTTGTCAGTCCTCTTGTGTGAGTGAGTGCTGGTACATGGAGCAGCTGTATTTTAAGTGGAGAGTAGGATGGGTCTGAGGCTGTGTACATTATTTTCTGAGCTCATTTTTCCTGCACTACATCCATTCCACTTACATATAAAATATTTATCCCACGGCTTCCCAGTTAAGCCTTGTGCTGAGCTGACCACAGAGTCCCTTATCCCAGAAGCTGATTCATGCTCGCTCACAGCACTTCTTGCACCCTCTTGCAGGGTTATGACACCAATTTAAGAGACATTGTCTTGAGTTTTTTTTGAGGGAGGTATGAAGATGTACATCATATTCCTCCATCAGCAGATAACCAGGGAGGCATAGGAAGAACTTATTGTCTGTATCTAAGATACATTTGTTATTAGCTTTTGGTGGGGTTTATTTTTCGTTTTGTTTTCATTGTTGTTTTTTTTCCTTCTGAAGAAGTACTGTATGTGTCTGGGAGGATTTTTAAAACATCCTTCGAAACACAGGCTTTTTCTCTCTATAGAGAACCAAGACAAAAGGATGGGTTCAGTTGTGTGCAGCTGCTAAAGAGAGGGCAGCTGAGGGCAGAGAGGTGGGAGGAGCAGAGGTGCCTGCGTACAAGGCAGTGGGCAGAGCAACGACTTTGAGGTGGCATTTGTTGGGACAAAAATGTTTCTGGGAGGAGTGGGCTTATCCAAGGGAGAAATACTAGGGAGTTTTTGGGAAGAGAGGTTTTAGGGCAGAAGAGGATGAGCCTTGTATGTCAGAAGAAGCTGGTGTTGCCATGAGACAGGCACCTCTGCTTCGGAAGCCTGGATGTGGTGCCCTCCATACGGGATGTCTGTGAACCCCATTGCTCACAGCCTTTGGCCTCTTTGCTTGTTTTTAGATAAATGGAAGTGACAGCTAAAGTTAGAGGAGGGGTGCAGGTATTAATGATTGCCAGTATCGCTCACAATTGAGGGGGCAAGAACTAAAGCCCCGTCATTTGGTGCGTCACGGTTCAGACCAAGTGGGAGAAGCGACTGTGTTCCCCCTCACAGCTCTGAGGTTACAGCTCTGCTTCCCTGACCAGCCCAGCCCAATTTTGGGGCTTTCATGAGTCACTATGAATTTGTCACTGAAGCAAAGGATACTTCTGCCAAGGTTAAAAATGAACCCTGATGTTTAGGGGCTCCAAACAGCTTTAGACTCCTTCCATGCTTCGCCCTACAGAGGCTCTGCAGGCTCCTGTACTATACCCCCTTCTCTCCGGTCCTTCTTTAGGGGTATCTTTCCTGCCTAATAAACAGTGTAAACTGTGTTCTATAATGCAGAGCACCTTACTCTGTGGGAATTTAATGTACTAGCTTGTGGCAATGTTTGTTGAGGCACTGTATGTGAAAGCTTACTTAGCTTCATGCTTCTTTGAAAAGATAAGTTATATTTACCCCAAACTTCAAGAAACTCATACCTTCATCATAACTAAAAAGAAAAAATAAATAAAAGTTGACTAACTAACTCCCAAGACCACATTCTTAAAAGCTATTTTCAAAGAGTAGTCCTAGCTTTGTTTAATCCATTAATTTTATGATTCTTCTTTGTGACTGGGCCTGCTTTCTCACATGCGCTCTTCTCCCTGTGCTATACTTAGAAAAATCCTTCTAAATCATTTGAACTCCTTTTGCCAAAATAACTTACTCTGCTTTTTTATAAACTGTACTTTTTACCTTTACAAGCTACTTAATCTGAATGTAATTTTGCTAATTTTCTTTTCTTTTTCCCATATTCTGTGCCCTGGTGACATGCTAACTGGTAAAATCAGGAACCTCGCTTTGGAACAAAGTCTTGGTAGAGTTTCACAAGAGAGATATAAACAGCGAGATTAAATACTCATTTTAGAGTAGTTCATTTAGAGATGTTAAAATGTCAAAATTCATGCAAGAGTGTTTAATTTTCTCTCATAGTCTGCAAAACGATCATCCAGATATTTTTGTTCCCAAGGGCTGAATTTACAACAATGCACTGCTGCAGAATGCGCCCCCTGAGAATGCACCCCACTGAGACTGACTGCTATGTTTCTATTAATGTTCTATCAGATGAACTCTACTGGTGCTTTAACTGATGAATAGCAGAGGGAAGGTGATTTCATCTGTTTCTTGAAAACTTTCTGTTCTACTTATTTATGCGGGAGAGGACAAATCCGCGCCTGCTTGTCGAGAGTTGCCTGTGCCTAGCAATGGCTGTCATGGTGAGGCTCATTTTGATTTCCATAGCCCCTGACAGCTTTTTCTTCTTTTCTCCTAGGCCTGTCCCAGGTTCTCTGTCTTCACTACTGCACCTACACAACCGACAAAGACAGCCCATGCCTGCCTCTATGCCTGGCACCCTGCCCAACCCCACCATGCCTGGATCTTCTGCTGTACTCATGCCTGTAAGTTTTTTGGTTTGGGTGGGGGTTTTTTTGGGGGAAGGAACATCATTCTTTTGATTCAGCCTATACAGAGGTGAAAGTCTTCTGGATTTGCTAAAACATCAAAGTGTAATCAGCTAAGGAAGCTGGACCTTTTTCACTGCTTCATCTTACACAGGAGCATTTCTGGTGCAGCTAATGGCGTGCTAGTTAGTGTGAGAGTGATCAGAAACAGTTTACATGAGATTACAATTTCTGGTTCTCACACTTGGTCATGTAGGTGAGATCAGTATGTCTGTGGTGGCACAAAAAGATATTTCTCAAGTCAGACAAAACTAGAAAAGCCATGTATATAAGTTATGCCAGCAAACTCTAAGTAATCCTCTTGTTTGTGGGAGATAATCAGCTAACAAGAAAGAAATGTGACTTACTTTTCCAGACTGGTAACTTGCACTTAATTAGAATTTGGTCATGATCACTCATTTCTACAGAGATGGGAGTATTTCCCATCTTCTGGGAGACAAAGGATGCTTTGCAATTGTAGCTTCAAATTCTTAAATGGTTTTAACAACCCTTTCAGTGTAAGACATTCAGATAGATTAGGGCTGGAGATGAGTAGAGGTGGCATGGGGAAGAGGAGATTGGGAAAGGAAAAGTTTCTGTTTCCTTCAGTTCAGTTTGGAAGACAACCTGAGAACGATTGGCTGTGGGAGGGAGGAAAGCACTGCTTGTTCTGGCTTTGCTGGAGCAGGGGGTGCATTCCGCAGAGCTACAAAGGTTCAGATTTGGCAGCTGTTTGAGCAGACATTAATAAGTTATTAATTAGTAGCTTGTCAATAAGGCTCTCCTGGAATATCGAGCAGGAAGTTAAAAAAAAAATAAAACATGTCACTGTGGGCAGTTTTTTCTGGCATGGTTCCTAAGGAACCTGAAATGGAGCAAACATCCTGCTTCTCTGTATGTTCAGGGGCTTGGGGTTGCTGCCGAGAAGTCCTTTGGGCAGCTTTGCTTGCAGACAAGCAGGCGTGCGCTGACTGAGAGCCTTGGAGATGTGAGCATGGAGGCAAGACAGACCCTATCAGCGCTGGCTGCGCTGGCCGCAGCTCCTGCCCCACAGGAAGGGATGGCAGTGGGAGCTGCTCCTGCTCCATGAAGGATGTGAGGGCTACTCGCAGAGAGAGCTTCTCCCCACCAGCAGGCAGTAAGATACTGTCTTCTGCCCTGCTTGGAAGAGCTCAGGAGCATCCAAAAACTTACTTCTTGTATGAGCCCAGAGATTCAGAGGACTGGCCGGAAGCAAGGCAGGATGCTCCGGTTGATAGCAGCACAATAACCCTATTTACCATCCCTACCAATCATAGAATGGTTTGAGTTGGAAGGAACCTTAAAAATCATCTGGTCCAACTCCCCTGCCATGGACAGGGACACCTCCCACTAGACCAGGTTGCTCAGAACCTTAATGACTAGTCATGTAACAGGGCTTGCCTCTTTTCAGGGAAGACACTACAGGGAATTATTTCATCCAGTCCTCATTGCCATTAGGTTTTGTTTGGAAACTATATCCCTCCCACCCAGCCTAGTGAGATTAGCTTGCAGAAAGTGCGCAGAATAGCCAGAGGTTCTGCTTTGTTTTTTGCTATCTCAGCAGTGCATGAAAGCTTCCCTTACAGGACATATGAAAACTCTTCTCAGCTGAGCAGTACTAGTTTAGGAAAGAGAAGCCAACTTGTTTTCTATATACTCAAGATTGTAGATTTTTATTTATGTTTTTAGCAAGCTAAGTTAGGCTGCACTGACAGGGGAAGCCACAACTTTATACAGTGATGCTTTTAAAACCACTTAACTCCGAGTGTTGTTATACTGAAAAGGAGAAAATCATTACAAAAAAGCACAAACCTGGGTGGCGGCTACATTTGTTTAGTAAAGAAGCCTTTTCTTTATAATTAGCTGTGAGTTTTCAGGGCTGATTCTGATGAAACACACGCCTGCGTGCATACGCACATGCAGTTCACAGCACAGATTGTTATTTTTCCAGTCATGACTTAAAGAAATAAAATTGAGTCCATTTAAATAGAAACCAAGCATATATTCTTGCAAATGTTTCCAGAAGTTTTGAAACCTTTTTCTTTTTCTTTTAAAAGATGGAGCGACAAATGTCAATGAACTCCAACATCATGGGGATGCAGGGGCCGAACCTCAATAATCCGTGTGCTTCACCTCAAGTCCCCCCAATGCATTCAGAAGCCAAAATGGTAAAAAGAGAAAATTTTTAAAAAATATTTTCTTATATTTCGCTTGCATGCTGGTTACCCAGACAGTGGGGGATGTAGCCAGACACTGCTTACTTCATTCTTAGTCATGTGTTATACTCTTTTTTAATATGCTGCAGTAAATTGTCTTTTTGTGTATGAACTTTCAAGACATTCCTAGTCCTAGCTGAACTCTTGATGACAGGGAACTGAAGTGAAGGGTGGGCCATCTGATCCAAACTGTGTTAAATAGGATTTCTGGTACAGATTAGTAGAATTCAAAAAAATGGTCTGGTTGGTTCTCTGATGGTGTCTGTGCTCCACAACTTGGCTTAAAGAATTAATAATTCTTTAATAATTGGTTAATAATTAATGAAGTAAAAAGTGCCTGGTGCGGAGGGAGTGTACAGGTCCAGATAGGTACACGGTGTATCAGGGTAATGGCAGTGTTAGGAAAGCAGACTGA